CAACGGTTGTTTTCGATTTCTGATTTCGTGTGAACTATTGTATATATGAGGATATAAGGAAGTTTATATAGAATTTAGTTTATTTCCACATATATCCAAGGGTTGTAGTTGGAGAGTGAGTTGATTTAATCTTTAAATGAATAAATTTTTAATTTAAATCATTTATTAATTGAATGATTTCTTTTCACAAGTTTACATTTCTTACGTGTATTTTTCAAGGATGTGAAACCACAAAAGAGGAGTATTTCGAAAAACTTGCACTCAAGAAACATGACGTAGCTATATATTCAATTTACGCGCTACCCTAAATCTTGTCATATATAACTTAGTTTTAGATTTTTTTATTTAATTTATTATTTTTTATAATAAATCAATTTTGTGTTTTTTTTTTATATCAATGCATTTAAAATTATATATATAAATTACCTTTAGAATTGTATATTAGAAGTTTTTAGGTGGGTCAACCAAAAAAAAAAAACTAATTGCAAAAGACTTGGACTCCAAAGTTATCTAAATTAACGAAGAAGTGGTTGCTTGATTCAACAAAATTATAGGGAATTGTTATTATTATTGTTTGAATATCAGTGTGTATAAATAATAGGAATAATTAAAGAATGAGAATTCTAGAGTTGATGAAATAATAATAATGTGTGAAAGGTGGGAGAGGGAGATATGGGGAGAGGTTGAAGAAATGGCCGAGGATAGTTTCTTAAGGGGCCAGATAGAAAAGATGAAGAAGGCTCACGAGGAGCAGATGGAGGAGCGGGCCAAAGCTCACAATGAGCAGATGGAGGAGTGGGACAAAGCTCACAGAGAGCAGATGGAGGAGAGGGCCAAAGCTCACAAGGAGCGGATGGAGGACCTCCGCGACTTTCGCAACGAACTCATAGAGATGAACAAAAAGTTACATCAAACTCTCTTTTCTTGCCAACGTTCCCTAATTTAACTCTTTACTCTTTTTTTTTTCTTTGTTCTGGTTCTCGTTGTCATTTCCAACACAATCAAGTTTCTTTCTTTCGTTCCAACGAAAGAAAATAAACAAAAATGGATCCATAAGTTTCGAACACAATCAAGTTTCTTTTTCTTTTAACCCGTTCCTCATTGCTCCTTTTTCTATATTCTTTCTCATACATTTATTGCACAATGCACAATAAATATTCTACTTTCCCAAATCTCTCTTTTATTTTGGGTGCCCTCCTTTTTACCTTTTTACACGTAAATGTGAGAGAATTTATGATACTACTGTAAAATGTAATGGGGATATTTCTTCAATTTACTTCATGTTTCGTCAATATCATAATAATAATTATTGTATCGTAATAATAAATATGTGGTGTGTCCACCGTCATTAAAATTTTATTTACAAAAGTAAAATTAGTGTGAATAAATATAATATTATACAGCAGTACTTTTTTTTTCCTGAATTGAGCTGTCAAAAACCGGCCGAGCCGACCTGTTTGAAGATGACGTCAAACAAGATATTTAATGAAATTAAATTAGTTTAATTAATTAATTAATATTTAAATAATCAAATTAAATATTAAATATTAAATATTAATTTAATATAATTTGATTTAATTAATTAATAATTATTAATATTTAATTTAATTTAATTACTTAATTAGGTAATTAATTTTAATTTAGAATTATTTTTAAATTAAATTAATTAACCACCTCCCCCATTTTAATGTAGAGGTTCTTCAAAGTTTARGAGTCATCTAGCAAGTAGGATTGACTGGAACGTGTYCAATTATTCAAGAACCTTCCGCCTAGGATTAACCTATTACATAGGTTTGTTTCRCCATAAGGATGAGCTCCCATCAAATATAAGCTTAGGTAGACCTTCTCCAAGTTTCAACTTCAAACTCTTAAACGCCCAAYTTAAGTCGAAAGCTCTAACCTTTAACCCACCTTGAGCAATGAACCACCAAACCTTGTAAGACCTCACAAAAGGAATGACCTTGACCAAGCTTCTCAAAGTTGACCCAAGTTTCGACGATCAGACCTTATAARAGGAATGACCAAGCTTCTCAAAGCAACCTATAAATGGAGCACTTGATCACTCCCRCTTCAATGTGTTGCATTCTAGCTCGATCCTCCATACTAAGATCGAACTCAAGAGTGTTTGTTCCGTGGTTAATCAATTATTAATTTAGTATTGCTAGTCACTTGTATATATATATTATATTATATTTAAATAAATTAGAAGAAAAAATATATTATATTTTTCTCTTTACAAAACTCTATATGCATTCAAATGTGGAGCGGGTACACGGTGTGTAAGGAAGATTTCCTTAGTACTTAAAAACCAAAACAACGAAAGATTTGAAAATTTAAGTACAAAAATATGGAAAGTTCATRAACTAAAATAGAATTTAAATTCTACTATGTCAGACSTAGGAGAGATAATTTAAACATTATGTTTCAATCCAATATCGAACTTATTTAGGGAGCAAAAAGATTTTGAACGTACATTAGGCATAGAAACTGTTTCTCTCATAAAATCCTCCCATATACGTTTAACCAGTCCTAATTTTCAAAAAATCCTTCAATGGCGATTTGTAAAAAATGCGTCTATGAAGAATAACCTAACGTGTTTGACCGGAACCCGAAGAACAACCCGTTCGACGAGCTCTGGCAACCAGTCGTGCTACTGTATAGCGAAGAACCTAATTGTTTTATTTCTGGTTTGAAGATGAATTAACCAGAGGCATTCAGGCATATACCTCTCGTGTAGAGCGAGTGAACTATTGGCTTTAGTATTTGGGCAGAGGAACCCATCCAATTTGGGGGATCTGACCAAAATTCTTGAACCTAAGAGCGGGATTTTTTAATCTCATAAGTAAATGGATGTTCGCATCACAACTAATAGAAATAATCACTACGTCACCCAGACTAGTCTAGTCTAGTAGTGGTTCAGATCTTGGCCGGGTTCGAGCTTCCCGAGCTCTATGCTGTTGGGGAACTCCGCTTCAGACCAGACCACCTTCTTGATTTACTATATTTTCCCTTAGATTCATCAGACCATCACTGCAAAAATTTAGAGTTACAGCGACACGTAATTTCTCCGGCGTCGGTATTATTGACCTTTACCGATGCTTTATGAAAAATGCAAAAACTGGATGGTAGAGAAAAATGAGGAATTTTTCAGAGAGGCTGGTGCAAGTAAGCTACATAAARGTCTGGACTCATATGTCATACTCGATCATTGGCATGGACGACATTTATTCATTCGATTATATTTTACTAGTCAAAATTCATCGGACCTCTATCCCTTCTTCCTACCYTCCGTTCACACAGTGATCTCAAAGAAGATGAGAAGGGGGGCAATAGTCAATAGGTACCACGTGCCCTCTATCCCACACATCTATCCAGAAGCAAGTGTAGTTCACCGGTTCCACCGAATAGATGTGTATAAGAGACAGCTGTCCCACACATCTATCCAGAAGCTAAGTGTAGTTCACCGGTTCTACCGAATAGGACAAATATATCTTGAATGGATATAAACTTAAAAAGATATTAAGTTATTTGGAGTGCATGAATCTCCCAATTAATTCACTTAAATATTAATTAAATTATYCAACATATATCACATCAACTTAAATGTTTAAAATCATATTTAATTATAAAAAATCAGACTCGTGTAGCGGAAGCGTGATGGATCCATAATTTATAGGGCCTAAGATTGAAATTTGGCTCTAATATAAGATTTTAAAAATTTTAAAATCGAAATTTGGTCACGAACTTGATGAAACATGACTAATGATAAACCTATATAATAAAAGACTAAAATAAATGTTTTGGAAATTTAAAAAGAAAATAAAATAACGCAATTAACTTTAAAACCACAAATTTAGAATCAAATTAGATATTTTGTTTTCAAACCCCTCCTCCATTATCTTCAAGCCCATTTTAGCAAACTAGCTCTAAAATTCGAAGCGTGGCGAATGCCATATTCAGCATGGGTCCATCTCCTTTTATCTTTACCAATATGTAAAATAAATGGTTAATTTGTTTTAATTATATTATATTATATAATATAAATAATTGAATAATGTAACATAAGTTTATTAGAAATTTTGTCACTAAAATAAATAAATTCAAATCTTCACGGCCAATATTAAAATAAACTAAGAATTCTTAAAGTTGAAAGTTCAAATTCTTGTGACATTACCACATAATTACACTGTTACTGAGTATTTGTAAATAATGATAAAACATTATGATTATATTTCCATTTGCTTCTTAGATGCAAGTTTTCAATTATTATTTTGAGTAAACAAATAATTTTTTATTTTCAATTATATGGAAAAGAAAAAAAAAACACACCTTTCAGTAAAGCGCCTTCTCTCGTTTTATTCGAAATAAGCTACATATCTTTCATTTCTTTTTTAAAATTTTCCTTCGTATCATTCTTCAATTTCATAAATTAAATATCAATTACTATAAAGAAAAAAGGACAAAACCCCACGATATTTTAAACATAAAAATCAATTGCTGAAACCTCCAATTCTGTCACTGGGAAAATAATAGATTTTTTTTTTTAATTTTTAAGAAAGCACATATTCTTTTCTTTCCACAAAAGAAAACGATAACAGTTCTAGTTTTAGGTTCCTAGACATTTCTGAGGTTCATTTCTGTGCCCTAACTAAATTGGTTTTGCGAAAAATCGACACCAAAACCAAAGTTTTGAAAATCAGACCAAGCCAACCACCCAACAAAACCAACCCAAACCAACTAATCATCTTTCGATTTCATACTTAAGAAAAACCGACCCAACCAACCGAACCCACTCAATTTAGTAAATCTAGTCCATTTCCCAAGTTCTGCCTGCACTGCCGAGAAATTGGAAAAATACAAAACAAAAAATTCCTAAAAAAGAAAAAAAAAAGTAAATAACAAACCCATTTGAAAAATAGTGCCAAGATTCAACAAGTTAAAAGTTTAGGAGACAAGAAGAGGAAGAATTAGAAGAGAGTTGAAGCTATATCCATTGTAGCTAAGATTACAGATTAGCAAACAATCTTTACCACTTAGAATAAAGGTAAACAAACACAAGAATGAGAGAGGATCTTTCTTTAAAATGAGAACTTCACTAGAGAGAGAGAGAGAAGGAAAAAAAAAAACAACCCAACCCCTAAAAGAATTGCCCGACTCCAAGGTCAACCAGAACCAAGCCAAAGGAAAACTTTTGGTTCACCAGTTTACAAGTGAGTAATGAAAAGTAATTACGGATCCATCATACATGATATTGAACTACTTACAAGCATCCTCCTGTTCCTTTGCCAATGCTGTAGTTGTTCCTGTTGTGTGCGTTTTGATGGCACAGGGCGCCCATCACTTTGAAGAGCTCCACTAAGGTTATTTCCCTGGGAGAAATCCTTTTCTTGGAGGTTACTACAATCTAATGGTTTACATAATCCAAAATCTGATAATTTCATATGGCCATCCTTGTCAAGAAGCAAGTTATCAGGCTTGATATCTCTGCAAAGTGTACAGAAAATAAGGGTCACTCTCAAGAACGACATATGTGCCCCTACAAAAACAATGCAATGGAATTTCTCAGATTACAAAATAAAGTAAGCAGGAAACATTAACCTATGAATATAATTATGTTTATGGATTGACTCGATAGCTAAAACTGTCTCGCCAACATAAAATCGGGCCTCGTCTTCTGTTAGAATATCTTTCCTCATCAATAAAGTCATCATGTCTCCCCCAGGTAAGTATTCCATAATAAGATACAAATATTCTTCATCTTGGAAAGAGCAGTACAGCTTTACAATACAATTACTGTCAACCTCTGCCAATAGGTTCCTTTCAGCTTTCACATGTTCAACCTATAGCCAAATTACGAGCATTCAACAAAATAGTGACCAAAACCGTATGAAGTGTCTATAATCATAATCTAGGCATACCTGGCCTCTTCGAAGCATCTCTGATTTTTTGAGCTTCTTCATGACATATACATGACCAGTTGCTTTCTCCCTACACACTCTAACCTGTATCTCAATGAAAAGGGAAATGTGTCTCAAAGAATGAACAATCAGTTAACAAACTGTCATAGACTGTCCCCATGAATCTGACATCAGACACTAAAAATGTCTTCTCAGCCCATACATTAAACAAAACCATTAATAAAGAGGAGATAACCACATTAAACAAAACCATTAATAAAGAGGAGATACAGAAGGTTAGAGGGACTAGGAGGCCATGCCTAAACACAGAGAAAGGTATCTCTACAAGAAAATTTTCCAATTGGTCAAAGGTTAAAAATAAAGCAACATAGAACTCTATTGTGATCAAATACCAAAGGGAAGTCACAAAATAGACTGACCAAACCTACGATATTACTGCTCTTGCCTTCAACAATCCTCTAATTTGCCTCTTTCCATATCTTCTGCGTCAGGGCAGTGATTACCAAGTTTGTCCTGTCCACCTGATCTCTAATTAGCGCCTAAATAATGGACCTCTCATCAATTGGACAAAAACGTCCCAAGAATCTAAACTAGGTTCAAAAAATTTAGGTCAGATCTCCTAAATTGGCTGGCCTCCTCTGCCCAAATACTTAAAAGGCCAATAATTCACTCTCTCTGCACAATAGTATATTCTAGCTAATTCATCTCTGAGCTACAAACCTTATTGATTTTCAAACCAGAAATCCAGTCAAGCACACACTGAATGTCAAATTTATGTTAACTTCATCTATTTGCTCGCATATCATCGAACAGTAATGTTAATGGAAACTACAAGCAAGATCTCACTGCCAACCAGACTATTGCAGAGGACCCCCAAGTGGGGGAGATGCACCAATGTAATATGAAAAAATAAGAGGATATAAGTGATAGGGTACTATCATTCACTTTGACGTTTGACCAGCTCCAGCCATACAATCAAACAAGAAAAGATAAACTTTCATGTAAGAAAAAGTATTCATACCTCTCCAAAAGCACCCCTCCCTATCATTGTTAGTGGCTCAAAATCATCAGCACCCATTTTATGCCTCTGAAGACGCATATATTCCGTTTCCTTCTTCTCTAGATGCTTAAGCAGGTTATTTTGCTCTTCTTGATAGACCTCAGCATCGGCCAACTTCTTTTCTAGTACATGGCGTCTGCAAAGAAAGCAATGACAACATTACGCCAAGGTACAAAAATTAATACACTCAAAAAGTACATAAAAGATTAACTAAACTGCCAAGGTGACAAGGACTTCAATTAGCTTCCAGGAAAKAACTACAATCTGACCTAAAGATGCAAGTGTGCAACTGGAATGAAAAGCATCTGTAGAACAAGATTGAGCARATAATACTAAGACCTAAGCCAAGCAATTTTAGCATGAGTTACGAAGTACTTTGCAAGAAGATGGAAAGGCAGTAGAGAGCGAGAGGGAGGAGGAGATAATACCATAGGAAAATAAACTAAACTCCACAAATAACTTTCGAGGTAAGTTTTGAGAATCTAGAGGTGAATGCAACCAAGAACCATGCATGTAATAATATTGGAAGTCAGTTATCAGTGATGCGTATAAACCAAAATATTTATATATATTGAAAATATTTCTTTGTTTGCATAAAATTTTTCTCTTGATGATTCACCTAACACCGAGTCTGACAGTGTTAGGGGTATAAAAGGGAGCTGAAGCTGCAGTTTCCAGACTTTTATGCGACTTTTTTTCCTAATACTCACCATGGGGACAAGGTGAATCTTGATGGGGAGGGTGATGTAAGGCCTCCAATTGTGAATGTATATACTAGGAGGGGTAGAAGGGAGAATATACGTGGGAGTTAGTTTGTTTGGGATCCGTCTATGGGTCCCAAGAGAGGGGTACATGATGTCTAGGGGTATAAAAGGGAGTGTTGCTTAGGGAGGAAGGCAATTATCATTTTGGTTAATTAGAGGAAGTCGGTGTAGGGGGAGAGCTCCCAACCCTCTCGAATAGGTTGGTTGACTGTTAATCTTCTTTGCCATTTTAATACCAAGAATCGTAAGGAGATTCCTTACACACCCATGTAATAGGAAAAAATTAAGAGGATATAAGTGATAGGGTACTATCGTTCACTTTGACGGTTGACCAGTTTGACCAGCTCCAGCCATACAATCAAACAAGAAAAGATAAACTTTCATGTAAGAGAAAGTATTCATACCTCTCCAAAAGCACCCATCCCTATCATTGTTAGTGGCTCAAAATCATCAGCACCCATTTTATGCCTCTGAAGATGCATATATTCCGTTTCCTTCTTCTCTAGATGCTTAAGCAGGTTACTTTGCTCTTCTTGAGAGACCTCAGCATCGGCCAAATTCTTTTCTAGTACATGGCGTCTGCAAAGAAAGCAATGACAACATTATGCCAAGGTAAAAAAATTAATACACTCAACAAGTACATAGAAGATTAACTAAACTGCCACGGTGACAAGGACTTCAATTAGCTTCCAGGAAAGAACTACAATCTGACCTAAAAATGCAACTGTGCAACTGGAATGAAAAGCATCTGTAGAACAAGATTGAGCAAAGAATACTAGGCCCTAAGCCAAGCAATTTTAGCATTAGTTACGAAATACGAAGTACTTTGCAAGAAGATGGAAAGGCAGTAGAGAGAGGGAGGAGGAGGAGATAATAACATAGGAAAATAAACTAAACTCCACAGATAACTTTTCAGGTAAGTTTTGAGAATCTAGAGGTGAATGGAACCAAGAACCATGCATGTAATAATATTGGGAGTCAGTTATCAGTGAAGCGTGTAAGCTAAAATATTTTGTACATATTGAAAATAGATGCCTTCCCCAAAATAAGTTATATGCATAAGAATGTGGACAGTGAAAAAAGCCTTAAGCCTTGACAGTGGCTCAAAAGGAGAGGTAATGCAGACCAACAAGTAAAAAGGTGGGCAGGAAAATGAAACAATGACAGGACACAAAAATCAAATTTCACTGTCCAGACGACTTAAAAAAACTATAACAATTCCAACCTCTCCCTCCTTTCTTCCAAGCTCTTCATTTGCTTCTTGTAATGGTTTTCATTATACTGTTTGGCGGCTGCAACCTTCTGCTTGGTGACATTTGAGGGTGCCTCTTCACTGGTTGGTGCTCTTGATGTATCTCTCCCATTGCCTGTACTCTCCTTATTTGTTGAGGACTTTGGGTTCTATTTCGATCTGAACTTATTAAACCAACTATCATGAAACTAATATGCTAAATTTTAAACCACACTTCCAAATGTTCATTTTAATTCAACAACCAAGTATGACACGTTTCACCCAACACGTAGTGGGTACAGGAAACATGGATATATAGAGCAGTACGTCTCCAGTAGGTTAGATAATGTGATTTCCTGCATGGAAAAGAAAATCTAACAATGAGAAGAAAATAAATACTATTCATAAGAAAAGGCTCTAAATTATTAAATCACTGCTGGTGATAAAAAGAAACAACAAAACAATACAATGTTTTTAAGATACTAAAACGCAAATCATTCCATGCCAGTCGTCTATAGTTAAGGCATTGATAAATGAATAAACTTCTTCAAGCCTCCAAGCTTTCTGATGGGCAGTTTTCAACAACTTAATGTTACAGAGCAATGCGCCCTGCAACCAGCAGACTTCAAACTCAGAAAATATTGCCTGACCATAATTTCAATGCTGTGTAAGTAATTCCAAATATAGAAACGACCAGCAACAACTATGATGCTTGAGATAGTATCTACTGCACCAAATAATTGACCAGTCAGATGTCCAATCCATCCAAAGAGTCCAGCTCGTCCAATATCTTGACGCACAAACACCAATTTTCTCTAAAATTGAAACAACATCCTCCAAAACTACATACTCTTCTTTTATCACAAGCTTATTGTCCCAAAACAGTCAGAAAACAAAAATAAAAAACAGCACCAAACTCTCACTCAAAACTCCGATCAACCAATATATTCAAGAAACAAAATCTCAATCCACATTCTCCACGCAATTTGACAGAAAACAAGCCAACTCCCGAATTTCAACAAAATCAAAACCAAACCAGATCAATCGGCTCAAATTAAAAGCAAACAAACACAATACCAGCAGAAACATCCAACCAGGTAGATCAGATAATGCACCGAACAAGTATAACACTCGAAAGAATAGTACATCGGTAAGATTTTGAAGAAACTATATCATTCATAAAATGAAATATAATAGAGGGGGGAGGAAAGTCTCAACCGAAGCTAAGGAAGAGAATACAAGAAAGGCTTAAAAAACTTGTTGAGTTTAAACCAAGTAGCAGCTTTGAAAACAAATTTCAACCCACAAAAAAACGAGAAATCTTTCCTCTTCTATGAAAGCTCTTTTGTTTCATTTGTTCTAGATGATCCAAAAAAAAAGGATGATGTTTCAGAATAGCACTCACAAGAACCATGCTGCAAAAGAATGGCATTCACGATATTTTCTTCATTCCATGAACCATGTGTTTTGTGAGAGCATTTGGAATCAGAAAGTAAATTTAACTGCAGATTCTCATAGATACACTAACATAGGAATAGCATACACCTACCGAATAAACAAGAAAAAGTTATTTTACAGGAACATTGCATTGCTTTAGCAATTTGTTTGGACAAAGCAAGAAACAATCATAACAATAATCATATTGTAAGGTAAAAAAAAAAAAAAATATATATATATATATATACCAGAGACAGAAAGTAATAGAAATAACTAACCTATATTACAACACGTAATCACATAGCTTGTAGGCCATATAAGTCTAAGAAGACCTATTTGGAGGGGGTGCAGAAGTGTAACAAAAAGAAATGGTTATAATAAGGAAATTTCATTCCATCAGACCTTTACAATGTCAGCCCCAGGAACTAGACACATTTAAATGTACATAGCCGAAACAGATCCAATTCCTACTATCCACCAAATTGCCCAACCTCAAACTAAATCACTGTCTTCCAATTGAAAAAATAAATAAAAGTCTCAGCTCCGAGAATTAACTTAAAAGATGATGTTTCGATCTTGCAGAGTAGGACAATAAACTTGAATTGGAAGTGAAGATACCATCATCGATTCCCAAAATCAAAGCAGAACAGTAAAACAACAAATGAATTATGCATACATGAAAAGACATGAGGTTTTGAATCGCTGTGAGAATCGTGGCCACCATGGCTGCCGCCACGAGCTTGGGGAGAAAAACCATCGCCATAATGGTCGGCGTCTTCTCCATTACCTTCGTTTCTCCCGTCGTAATCCGTCATATTTGAATTTCGTGTATGATCCACTGAATTTCTCTGTGGTATTTGGAATTTGTTTCCCGAGAAAATTATTTGCTGAGAAAATTGGGAGAAGCAAAGCCAACGAGAATCCTACGGTTCGAAATTGGTGCCCTCTGCTTATAGATCAGTCCGTAAATAGTAGCCGAGATAACTAACTAGTTATTGATCCGAAAACATAAATCTAAAAACACAGATTCAATTAGTATTCAATTTTCTTTGACCTCACCTACTCGGCGGCGGCTAGAGCGGAAAGGGAGGGGGGAGAAAAAATCGGGGAGGGGAGAATATTATTAATGCATTGAATTAAAGAAGTTTCAGAAGATAAGGAAAGGAAAAAACTGCTTTATTCATATACTTGACCGATCAGGATCAAATACACTTTTCAATAACCAGAATCAATCAAAAAACAAACCCACCCTTCAGCAGCGATTAGTTCTTCATTTTAGGTTCGGCGCTGCTCTTTCCAAGGTCTTCAATCTTCTTCCTCTCCAACAGCTTGAAATTCTGAGTACTCAGTTCTTTGACCTCATCCTTCAACTTGGTAATTAGTACGTCACGATCTTTCACAAGATCCAGCATTAACCGTCTAACTTCCTTCGACTCCTTTTTTTCACGTTCTAGTTCTTGTTGCGTTTCAGCAAGCTTCTCTTCAAGGCTTCTGACCTTCTTTGAGGTATTGACGTTCAGGTCATCCAGCTCCTGTTGAAGCTTTCTGTTCGACATCAAGAGTTCGCACTCACGTATTATATTATGTTCTTGATAGTTTCGGAAGGCCTCTGGTGGAGAGCTAGAGCCGCTTCCCATGCCGGTCCCCGATGATAAACCTGCTTGCTCCATTTTTGCTGGTGAGTGAGTGAGGAAGGAAGGAGGGGGGCTTCGTTTATATAGCTGATGGTATTAGATTAACGTAATGTATTAGAGTAATGTAATGTAGTTAGAGTGCTAACTGCTTAGTTATCCAGTCTTATTGGATGGGAATATATTTTTCTTTTCTTCTTTTTTTTTTCAAATTTTTAAAGAATTATATATTATATTATATTGCTAATGGAAAAAAATGAAGAAACCGCAATAAAAGTGTAGTAATATGACCATCTTAAAGCTTGCTGCTGCAAAGGTTTATACCATCAATAGAAATTCCTTTACTGGAAGAACGTTTCACAAATTCACTGTGTTGGAGGCGGTATTCTTATTTAGAAAAACTATAATAATTGTAATAAGTATAAGTTTCCTCACGTCGGAATACGTTGTCAACTGCCAAGAACATTTTATCACCGACCTGTTTGAAGATGTCCGCAAGAGTGTTAAATAACACATTAATCCAGATATGATGCACGTCAAAACTATTTTTAGAGGAGCTTTTGAATATGATTTATTAAATATATGATATTTAATTAAATTAAATTATTTTAATTAATTATTTAATATTTCAAGAAATCGGAAGAAATYGACAAAAATGGAGACCGAAAATTAGAAGAGAGAAAATTGAACAACAAGAATAAGGATGGATAAAATGGAGGAGGGAAGGGAAGAGGGAAGGGGCACCAATGTAATTTCACAGTTTTTTAAATTAAATAATAACTTTGCTAGGTCAGTTATTCGTGTCAATATCCCATTAATATTATTCAATATTACAACTTTTTCAAGTATTAAACATGTAGTACGTTAGTGTCACGCCGACATTAGCTCAGTACAATTGACCTCTCCCAATTACGTTTYAACACATTGTATCCAATTAAATATAAGTAAATAAGATTTTATTATTATTAGAATTCCAATAATTTTAGTGAAAATCAAAACAGATGGAACTCCTTAATACCCTTAATATTTTACCCTTACAACACTAAAATAAGTTAAATTAATAATTTGTCCCTATATTTAAATTTTAATTTTAATCCTTGTTCACAAGTGAARCATTTACTAATAATCCTTGTCTAACATTACAGTTGAATTTGGTAAAAAAAAATAATAATAATAAAATTTAAGCAAGGCAAAGGAACTCGAATGAAACTTTCGAAAGAACTGAATCAAGTGAATAATGGAAGTTATGAACTAATGARTTGAGGCTGAAAGAGAAAACAGAAAGAAAAATACAAACTTGAATATCTTTATATGAATCTAAAATTTCCATATGTAAAATATGATACAACTATCAACAACAGTGAGTTAATTACAGGAATAGTAATGCTAGAATTGAACAGAGGAAATTTGCATCTTGCAAGAGGGGTTGAAAATAAATAGAAGGAAAGAATAAGAACAAGTCAAAGTTTGAGTTTGAGTTTTGAAAGAACCTATACCTCCATGGAAATATTTTACAGAGCCAATATTTGATTGTCTTTTATCACTTCCAATAAATTAGGCCTTTGCCCTCTAAAATCTTCGGTCCAAAATTTACCCAAATATGCAAAGCAGCAGTTAAACAAAACGCAGTCTCTCACCAGAAGGCATGATTGTTCCTTGGAAGTAACTCCGGCAAACGGGCTAAAATCATGAACACTTTTCGTTGGCGCTCATCGGTTTCTCGGGGACTTCTAGTTGGGGAGGCAAGAGTTTCAAAAAGCTACCTTGAACGGGTTGATTGGTCGCCATTGCAGATTCGTTATCTGTGGTTGGAGAACAAAATAATTAACTTAAAAAGGACATTAATGAAGCAAATTCAAGAAAGAATACGGAATGGCAGTAACCAGAAAATGAAGGCTTCTTAAGGGCTTGAAAGTTACCAAAAAGAGATTTGATGGAAGGTCTTTTAGATTTCGCACTCTTCTTCTTTAATTCAGCTGTCAAATAGAAGGCCACAGACAACTGGCGTAAGAGGATTAAAAGCGACCATGAAAATGTCGAAAAAGACAATATTTCCAAAATAAAATTATGATAGCGGAGAGGGCATTTCATGTAATAACAGCAGACATTTTCGTGCTACACATTTTTGTCACAAGTTATCACATTTAGCTAGCTATGCATGAACTAGACAAACAATATGTACCTTAACAGTTAACCCTAAATTTTTTGGGCTATAATTGAACATTGTTGAGTCATTAATTAGAGAAAACAAAGATGGAAGTCATAAGCCATTTGTCAACATAATCTACCTTTCCAAATATATAACTATGACTCGACTAAACAATCATTTCCCCAGAAAATATTAAGAAAAGTTGCAATGAGAAACAAAGACAACCAATCAAAACAACTTACATAGCATCAACGTGCATTACCCCAGGTAATGAGGACAAATATATGGTTCTTTGGTTTATGGGAAGTGGGGGCGGGAAGCAAAAAKATTCTCTCCTCCATGCATGTAATATAATAACGAGCCAAACTACAAAGAGAGAAATTTTGTGAAAGGTGTGCAGAGAGATACCGATTCCAGGCAATTGATTATCATCAATGATTTCAAAGTTTTTGTACGTATAGCCCACAAAATTGATATCCTTCGATGACAGCATCTGCATTAAACAGCAATGTAATCAGCAAATGGGCAGCATATTAGTTAGCACTTAGCAATGTCCTATAAGTGATTTGCAGGTCAATGAATGTCTGTACTAAATAGCTGTCATTTCAATTTCTTTTCTTTTCGTTTCTTTAAAAAAATAATTACATCATCTAAAAACCCTGGAAAACAAATGACAAAAGGCTAAATAAAACCCAGAAATCTTATCAAATATCTTCAGCTAATTCCCAAAAAAATGGATTTGATAACATAAGCCACAACAGGAAAAAGAGCAATTCCAATGGTTTGCAAGAAACAAATGATACATGATCAGGAGCCTGACAAACTAACCTTTCTCCATGGACCTGATTTTGACGATGTCTGGATTTGGTTTTCAGTCTATCACACCATCCATAATTAGATAGATAGAACAAGTTAGCACAAGGGTAGCAGAAGTGGTTCAATCATATATATGGAAAATGAATTACTCATATACCTCTTCAAACTTCTCAAAATTTTGAGTATCCAATTCATCATTGACCTCAGGAATAAATGCAGCTTTCATTTGGTACAACTTGTCCCACTCAATGCCCTTGAACCATGGGTGCGCCTATAAATAATAAAGCCAAATCAACCAATAAGTTAATTATCAGTATTTTAGGAATTTAATATGTTAATGATAATCAAAATCAGAACACACCACACCACCTTTATTTCATCTGCACCCTTGGTCCCAAGCCTTTGTTCAACATTGCACAAGAGTTTACTAATTAAATCCTTCGCTTCTGGAGAGAGTTTTGCTTCTTCTGGAAATTTCAAGTGAGTTCTCCAATTAACTATCTGAACCATAGGTGAAAGAAGAAATTGTTTAGGAAACAGTGTGAAAAAAATATCAAATCAGAAGAAAAAATAGTCAATTCCAAAATAACTAAGCTACACATTAGAGATGATTTATCCAAATTACACCATGTCAGAAGAAAAATATTCAATTCCTAAATAATTAACTAAGCTACAGATTATAGAATGATTTGTTTAAATTAGACCATGTCCCTTTAAGGCCTCGAGCATCATAAGTGTGCCAGTTTCCTGTCTCTAGGTAATAAAATAAGAAAGTTAAGGCTCTGTTTACATGCTAGGAATTATAATGAATGAATGAATATTATTCTCCCCATTCTTCTAACTATTATTTACTTCAAGTAAAGCATAATTTTTACATGAATTTTATCCAAAATAGTAATTGGACTTATCAGTCTCCCATTTATTCATTCTTCTTGACAATTCCAATTTTTATTTTAACATTTTGCTTCACTACATTGTTCGAGTCTTGTACCAATCAAAAATTAAGTTAGTAACACCCATATTAATCTTCTCATTTTAATTCTGATACTAAAATAACTTCAGTAAATATTAATATGAGAAGTTATATTCTATTTTCTACCTGTTTTATTTTGGTTGGCTTTCTTTCTTATTCTTCCACAAATCCATTCTCATCCAGTTAGTGTGGACCAACACACATATGATGTACTTCGTAAGAATATTGATTTTCATTTATGTTAAGAAATCGAGAACAATAAGCATAATTTGAAACTAGTTCCATATTACCTTCCTACAAGTTGACATTGGCTCATCTGAGTAAAACGGTGGATATCCCACAAGCATTTCATACATGATGGCACCAAGTGACCACCTGAAGTATTTTTAGCAAAATGTCATTGGCATGTTCTCTTGAAACGTCAAGATAAACGTGATTGAGCAGAATTTAAGATGCTAACCAATCACATTCCATTCCATATCCTTTCTTCAGCAAAACTTCTGGAGCAATATAATCT